AGGGGAGAGAGGAAAAAATATGAAAGGAACTTTTTTTTCCCCCTCCCCCATGTGACAAAAGCTGCTCAGAGATGGGTGTGGCCAGATCTGGCGATCGGGAAAGAGTGAATTTGGGGGTGAGGTCAGAGGTCTATTCAGCACCAGATCACAGGAGGAGGGAGGAAGGGAGGAAGAGAGGGAGGGAGGGGAAGGGAAGACATGAAACTCACCTCACCGAGCGGGACTCTCAGCGAACTGTGAAGCAATTAGTTCCACCGGCCTCCATACAATGGTCTCCGAGTCCATTGTGGAGGCCCTGAGAGCCTCCACATCTGCACAGCTTTCATTCTCCAAGTGCAGCGAGGTGGAGATGTGATGGATGGCGTCCTCGGCTGCCTGACACACACCGTACCAGGCCTTTCTAAAGCACCACTCAAAGGCCATGTTAGAATCCTTGTTGCACGGGGGAAAAGAAAACAGCGATTCATGTTCCATCGTTTTCTTTTCATTTGTCATCAGCACCCACAGCCGAGACTCCATTTGTGTTCACTGGGAGCTGATCACCTGAGAAAAAGTCCCGAGCTCTGCCCCTGAAGGCAGCATTCCAGCTCGGTTGCACTTAATCAATTACAAACACTAAAAAAAAAAAGAAGAAGTGACCGCCTTCCAAATTCTTTGACTTGTGGCCTCGTGCTTTGTTTTGTTTTTTAACATGGTGCACATGTCTGAGCTCTGAGCACTTAGATAGAATCACAACACACACACGCACGCACACACACACACACACACACACACATCTTTACCTGTGCAGACTTCCATGACCGATCTCTCCTTTTTAAACTACAGAATGCAAATGACAAAATTCAAAAGTGTACCGGAAAAATAAATATGAACTTTACTAGATTTTGTTTCTTCTTTTTTCTTTACTGTAATACACGGTGACGGCCATTTCGGCAGACTTGGCCAGCAGCAGCTCCCCTCTTCTTCTTCTTTCCTTTGAGCTGCTGGCCGGTTGACCGGCAGCTGGACCGTGAGCTCACACAATGTTTTTGTGTTGGCAAGGACGAAACGAACAAGGCCTTTGGCTGACAGAAGAAGAACACCACAACGACAGGTCTGTATCTCCATGAACCAAAGAAAAAAATGCATGGAAAATACACGTTGAATAAAGGAGAGAAGGAGAGGAGGGAAGAAAGAGGGGTGCGAGGACAAACATCTGGCCCTGGGAGGACCGAGGAGGCCGGGGATGTCTGCTGGAACAGGCTGTAATCGGTGAGTGATCGCCTCTGACCGACACTTTGATGAGGAGAGAATGTAAAATTACACCTGTTTTTTCAGCACTGTGTGTCACTGCTAGTGAGAGAGAGAGAGAGAGAGAGAGAGAGAGAGAGAGAGACTTGGGTGGCCTTCTGCACCTGACCGCCATGTTAATTATCATGATGGATGAACGTCCGCATGGGTGGGGATCGCACGTGTGCGCACACATTTCCCATCCAGCCAAAATACGATATATTCTCAAAGCAGGAAGTCCACAGAGCGTGTAATCTCGTCTCTGGGTGTGGTGTGCGCTCTCCTGTAGGGGCTCGTTACGGCAGCGACGTTTCTCCCGTTGCCCAAAACACATCAGTCTTAATCGAGGTGTGGAGGTCCTGAGGTGGTTTTTGGCTGGTATTTGTTTGGAACCAAGATTTGATCGTGTATCTTCTGAAATTCAGACCCAACCCCTGACCCCCAGCTATTTATAGAAATTTTACCAAGTAGGATGAGCTGCTTGGTCAAAAAGGAAAGTTGACAAATGTTGGAAACGATGTCGAACGGGACTCAAAGAAATTGTTGTTACTCAGGCAGGTAAAAAAAACTCACGTTTAAATCCTAAAACTTCCCAACTTTTTATGGTCGTGAAGGCCGCCACGTATGTGTAGCAAATAAGTATGTGTGTTTTTCCTAAATTTGACCTGACCGAGACATTTTGGCTTCAAAGCCAACCCGAGTAGCTCAATGCTGAGTCAGCGTAACTCAGAAGAGAAACACAAGTTCTTATGTGCTTGTCTTGAACTCACATGCAGTCCAGTGAGCCTTCCTGGTTCCTTCTGGGTATTATTAGTCCTACCCTGTAACGATGGGAGAAGACAGTTTCTGTGGATCACAACACATCGAGAAGCGGGACAATTGACAGTGAACGCATCGGCAAATCTTCTGAATCATTTGGTGGCATTTTGTCCAAAGAGTGCACCCTGAAAAGAATCGGATATCTATTTGTGTATGTTCACTGGAGAAGGAGAGAGCTGGGACTTGGAGGAGGTTGGCTGTAAAAAGAGCAAAACACTAAATTGTTTTCCCGGGATCGTCAAACTCTTCTCAGAAACTAATATTACAGTAAGGAAAAACAAAAAAAAACTACAGAAAATGTGGCTCCATAGCTGCTTTAGTGTAGACTAAACAAACCCTTATTTGCCTATAACGCAAAGTCAAAATCCTGGCGCTCCCATGTGAAAAACACGAGCACCCAGATAACAGCTTCCAGAGCAGGAGTGGAACATGAATGAGCGACTGATTGAAATTCATAAACGTGGAGAAATGCGGAGGGACTGAACGGTTCCCGGGCTGTGGTTCGGAGACACATCCCAAGTCAGATCAACTGATTTTACAGAGAGTCACAGACTGTAGAAACATATATGCAAGTCAAAGGGAGGTGCCTTTCCCCCCCTAATATTTCTGAAACGACTGAATCCACAAGATGCAAAGGTTCATTAACAAGTCTAAGAGAGCAGAGATAAGCAGTACACAGCAATACATTTAAATCTGCTTCTCTGCTCAGACAGAATCAGCAACATACTGTTCAGGAGCATAAAAACCCAACGAGTTTTATTCTCTAATTCTATTCCTATCAAGGTTTTTTATTTCACGATAGGCCTTTGATTTGTTTGAGTACCAAATGCGGACTACCAAATCTCTACAGCAACAAAACAGCAAATTGGTGGGGTACTTTAAAGAAACACTCCAGTTTTGGGGGTAAAAACTGCTGAGGTAAAATTACCTTTGAGCAGCCGTCTGGCCTCTCATTTCCCAACAGAAATTTTATTCAATTCATTTTTTAATTCAATTTTATTTATATAGCGCCACATCACAACAGCAGTTGTCTCACAGCGCTTTCCAAACAGAGCAGGTCAGACCCTACTCTGAAGTCAATTACAGAAACCCAACAATTCCCACCATGACCAAGCACTAGGCGACACAGGCAAGGAAAAACTTCCTTGTATTGAACCTACTATTAGGTTCAATATATCATTGTGTATTATGATAACAGTATTCTTGCCTTAGAGACTTTAAATGAGGCTACCATTGCATTTGTTCCTTCAGGATTACCCGTTCCTGTGCAGCTCTTATCTGTTTTGGCCGTCCTCGTCTGGATTTGCTGCTGTGTAAATGACCGTTGCCCTCCTGTATGACCTGAGGCTCAGCCGGGCCTTAGCTGGCCGACAGATGGGCTCACTTTGTACTCCAGAACGCTTTGTTGCACAGAGGAATTTACAATCAGCCCAATGGCTGCAGGGTGCCAAAACAATCCCACATTACCAGCCCCACGCCACCGTGTTTGACAGTGGACATGAGGGGTTTCTGCTGATATGCTGTGTGCGATCCAACCAAACATGTTCACGTCGAGGACAATTTTTCAATAGTCTTCAAACCTTCAACCTAACTTATGATGCATGTTCTTTTTTTCTTAACTGTTCTCTCATGAAAATGAAAGAACAGTTATGGATAAATGATCTTCCCAGATTGAAGGTCTTTCCTCCTCGGCCTACCTGACCAGCTGACTAATGTCCCTTTTTTTTTCAACCTAAAAAAATACGTGGTTGCTGATTTTTAGAATATTTGGCGCTCAGATGCCTAAGACCTAAAAAGGTTGTGGTTTATTTTTGCATATTTTGCACATTAAAGGCGGTCGGCTGCTCTGCACGCGCAGCCCTTAATAACCCAGCCCAGAGGGTTTAAAATCCCCAGCAGTTTACCTCCACAAGCCTTATTTTGACAGCTGAATGAATCTTTTAGTCGCTGCTTTATGCCAAACAGACTACCATTGATTAGATGGGATTCTCTCCCCTAAAACTGCAGCATTAATACAGTATATGCACAGCAAACAGACGCCAGATACTGTATAAACAGGGGTGAGTTACAGGTCTTACTCAGATCCACGTTCTGTTTGTCACCTTTTTTTCAACTGTAAATATTTAGGTCCGATGGTTGCCATGCCAGCGTTTAGAGACGAGACTGCACATGATGAAAGGCCGACTGATCTCATGTGCTGCTTTTAACCTGGAGAGCAGATCAACAACAGGCTTCCTCAGTGCTGTCGCAAGATGGACTTGTACAGGCAGGTCCCAGTCTAAACCCAGAAGAGCGCATTATGTCACAGGTTTTGTTTAGTTTTTTTCAGTCTGCAAATGATGGCCAGTGTGTGTTTTTATCATGTGAACAAACCCTGCTCTGCCTCTCAGTCCTCACCTATGACTTCAGGTTTTTGGTCGGCGACCAAAGCCCAGAGCTCGTTACTCAAAGACGGATAGACTGAAGAGCTGAGACACTCAGATAAGGAAAAAAAAAATCTCTTGGCTGAAAGGAGCGAGCTCAAGTGGTTTGGCAGTTTGATTCGAACGCCTTTTGGACGCCTCTCCGGCGGACACGCTCCAGGCTGTAATAATAGCTTGGATCCAAAACATCGCAGATGGATTCTTCACCTTTGAATGACCAGGAAAATCTAGAAACGTATCTAAAAGTAGCACTACAGTTGGCCTAATGTGAATAAACTGGGGGGAAAAACATATGGTAAAGGATGAAAAACGGAGCTTGACAATCTCTTATAAAGACCCTAATCTATCTTTATGTTTCTGAAAAGCCATAGTTTTGTGGTGTATCTAAAACAGTTCAGAATCTGACCTTAAGGTAGTTATAAATGAAGGGTAAGGGTTTGACAAGGTTTTTGTCCACACTAATGTCCATGATAAATTTGGCTGATTTGATACTAATCTTGAATTTTATCTTGAAAAATGACCCCAAAACTTGCCCAGTTGCGTTGATTCCCCCCATTCCTGGCCTAAGTTTACTTTAGATGACAAGGTTTGAACCTCTGGAAGCCTTTCATCCCTGTTTTATTCATTACAAAGCTAAAGAAAAAAAAAGACGATGAGATCCTTAATTTTCCCTTTATTTATTCCTTTTGGAACAGATCAGCATTTGTGCCTCCTTCACTACCTGTGAGTCTTTCTGTGTGTGGCCTCACGTTTACCCGGACTGCCCTTTAATCTCTCTTTCTCCGCATTAAAATGAGCGAGTGCATCACTCCACATCACACCTGGAACATCCATCCTTGAAGCTGCCTTGTCCTCCACCGCCCACGTGCACGCTCCCCAGCGGGCGCACAGTCGGACCCTTGAATTTAGCAC